GACCAATTCCGACATATATAATTAGTCTTACTTGTATCATCCAAATTTATTTTTATTTTGTGGGGTTGTTATTTAAAAAAATATATATTATTATTATTATTTTATTTTATAGTAAAAATAAGTAATTATTGTTATATATTTTTTTAGAGAAAATTGCAAAAATATTATGTATGTAGGTTCAATTATCATTTTCGATCACTTTTTTTCTACTTTCACAATTTAGGACATTATGTGTACTACGGGCATTATTTTTGCCCTCCGGCGCCGGAAAAACACACGTGACTGTCACGTGCATCTTCGTGGCATGGCCGGTGCATATGTGGACACCGCCGTTGTTGTGTTGTCACCGCGTGGTCGTCGAACAGGTGACGTGGAATTATTTTATTTTTACTTTCGCAAATTAAAACATTATGTGTACTCTAAATATTATTTTTGTCCTCTGGTTGCGAAAAAACAATTTGTTCTAGGGTCGTTTGATAGGTGGCGTGGAATTATTTTGTTTTTTTCTAAAAAAAATTATATCTTTTAAAAAATTTAATTTGGCCCGATTGAACCAAATTGCAAATAAGCAATTGGATCAAATCGAAATAAAAAAAACTTAGAACAAACTGTTTTTTCGGCACCAAAAGACAAAAATAATACCCGACGTACACATAATGTCCTAAATTGCGAAAGTGAAAGAACAATAATTCCACGTCACCTGTCCGACGACCACATGGACGACAACACAGCAACGGCGGCGTTCACGTATGCGCGGTCATGCCACGAAGGCGCACGTGACAGTCACATGTGTTTTTCTGGCGCCGAATGACAAAAATAATGTCTGGAGTACACATAATGACTTAAATTGCGAAAGTGAAAAAATAATATTCAAAAATAATAATTTGACATATATACATGATATTATTTGTACTTTTTCCTAATTTTTTATTATAAAAGAAACAATAATTATTATTATTTACTTTTATCAAAATTTATGTCTAATCATATAAATATTTTTTTCGACTCATTTTAATAACAATCATTTGGTTTTTCTTAGTGAATTAAAAAATAATAGTATTTTATTAGTTAGTAAAAGTGTATAAAATAATTTGATATTTTTGTCTATAAAAAATAAAAATAAAATAATAGTATTTTACAAATAGTAAGAAAATTACTCCTTCATTCCCGTTCTAAAGGTCTCATTTACCTTTTACGTCATTATATTTAATATTAAAAATATATTTATATTTGTATAATTTTTTATACAAATATAATCATAATAGTATTACAAGACACTAATATAAATATTTTTGCCAATTTTTATTAATTTTACTATGTTATGATATAATAATTAATATTCAAATATTAATACGCAAAAAGTAAATGAGACCTTTAGAACCGGACGGAGGTAGTAGTATTTATATATAAAATGTTTTTATTATAGTATTATAAAATAGATATTTTTTTCATTGGAAAAAATACAAATAGCAAGAAAAACACCTTGAATTGGGACGAAATCAAAATAATTTTGGTAAAATTGTCCATAACTCCCTTATGGTTTCGAAACTCGGCATAAATTTTTCTTCACTTTAAAAAATGTACGATGTTCTCTTATATTTTGAAAAATATTGCATGAAACCCCACTGTGATTTTAAAACTCATCATAAATTTCCATTTTATTTTTAAAAAATTGTATGATGTCTCCTTATATTTTAAAAAATATTGTATGAAATCCCCCGTCATATAAAATATACAGATAAAAATTATCTTCTCATCGTACAAAAAATTTTCATGATTGTAAGATTTCGTACGATTTTTAAAATATAAATAATTCCATGTTGAATTTCGAAACCACCGAAAAGTTAACGAATAATTTACATAATTTTCGATAAAGAGCATATTACATCTGCATCGGATTTAGTAAAATATAAGAACACTCATTTTTGTCGTTTCCTGGTTCGATATTAATAAGGGACAATGTACTCGGCCGTATTGCAGGGGAACTTCAATTAGTGAACACCATGGATCTCAGCTCCCGAAGGTATTCACATTCGTACTGCTCTTCCCATGAGTGGAATCACAACTGGATGCCAGATGGATGCTTTTGGTGTTGGGCTCCAAGGACCTTCTATTAATAATGCAATTAGTCAATCAAGAAATTTTAGACTATCTATAAAAATTCATTTAAATTAATATTATAAAATTAATCATATACTTTCTCCCTCATATATATTTTTATTTTTTTAATTCGACCACAAATTTATTTTATTACTAATTTTAAAAAAATTAATAAATTAATATTTAATTATTACATTTCATTCAATATTTATTTATAATTAATAACATTAATTTTATTATTATCTGTCTTAAGTTACTTTAATTTTCAACTAAATTTCTAAAAATATTTTCAACTATCTATTTTTTTTTAATAAAATATTTATTTTTTTAATTTTTGTGCCGAGTCCAAATAAACTAATTTTAATAGACGAAAGAAGTAAAATATTTTAATTTTATATAAAATTTCTAAAATTCAAACAACTATAATAAAAAAAATTTAAAGAATATAGACTCTCTAAATTTAAGAACTTCTCCCACTATGTATAAATATCAAATTTATTACTCTATCTGCGTTCCACATAATTTGTCTCTATTTTCTATTTTCGTCAGTCCCACATAACTTGTTCTTTCTATTTTTGGAAATATAATTATGCACTTTAATCACATTTTAAATTTTATAATTTTCTTAACTTTAATTAAACTATTTATTTATCTTAATCTTAATCTATAATTATTTTTACTAATACACTTCTTAATTACTTATTAATTATATTTTACCTAAATTCTCGTGTCTATAGTAATACACTCATATTACATGGAACGGAGAGAGTATTTATATAGGGTGAGTTGCTTCAATTCAAATTTGAAGGAAAATTGTAGTTATATAGATATAGATTTAGTAGCGGATTTCATCATCGTCGTCTTTTGTTTCTCAGTGCATTAACGAGTTCTCAGTGCATTAACGAGCAAACAATATAAATTATTAAATTTAAAAATATTTTAATACTTCTTAATTGAATATATATAGAAATAATATAACTCAAATTATTAATTATTTATTCAATAATATATATTAAAAAAAAAAATTCAATTTGTTACAATATAATATATTTTTAAATAAAAAATAATATTTAAAATATGAATATAAATTATTATTGTTAAACAAATAAACCCTATATAAGTGTGTTTAGTTTGTGTTTCAAATGCAAAATACCACTATTCCTCCTATATATTTTATTTCATAAAATATCACATCAATTTTATTTAAATCAAAATTTAAATTTAAACTCTAATTTCAACTCAAAATTTAATAAATCCGAAAATAGAGTATATGTATGTATATTATTTATTTACTAAAAAAAATAGAGATACAAGATGGAAATGGGTCTCATTTAAAAAAATAAAAAAGGAAATATGAGATATCACTAATTGAAATTGTGGGAGAAATTTTTGATGGAAGAATATAAGTCTTAAGATGTCAAACAAACAAAATTATAAAATATATATATATATAATTTTTAAAAACGTGAAATAATTAAAGTGAAAATAAAACGCAAGTGAAATTTTACAGAAACTTTGAGTACTGAAGTTGGTTGAAAAGTAGTGTTGAGTGCAACCAACACACTAGGGTGTGTTTGTTTAAGGGTTTGGATTTTGGGTTGGGATTTGAATAGTAAAAATTTTGAATTTGAATAGTTGTATGATGTGATATAAATAAGAATTGATGTGATGTTTTGAATGTAAAATTGATTTTTAGTATAATATAAAAAATGAAAAATAAATATTTGATTTGATATTTTTGGAGGGAAAATTTTGTGGGAATAGTAGAAATCCTACAAAATCCCCCAAACAAACACACCCATATATATATATATAAGAAATTTAAATTTTTGACTAGTTATGTTTCTAAAAGAAATAGATGTTTGATATAATTTTTTAAATATAAATTTAATTTTTAATATAATATAAAAAAATAAAATAAAATCTAATTTAATCTTTTTAAAAAATAAAAATTCGATAAATAGTAAAATTGTATGAAAATCCTATAACCAATCACACTTTAGAGGGTTTGTTTGTTTAGTGTTTTGAGTTTTTTTTTTTATTTTTTATGTGAGTTATTGGAATTATGTTGGTAATATAAAAAATACTCTTTTCGTTCTATTTACAGTTTTTATCTTTTCATTATGTCTGTCTCACATTACGTTATTTTTTTTTTTTAAAAAAAAAATTATACACTTTAATCTCATTTTAAATTTTTTAATTTAATTTTTTTTAATTTTAATTATATTAGTTAGTTATCTCACTTTTAATTTAAAATTATTTTCACTAATATATATTTAATTATTTACTAATTATAGTTGTGACGGAGAAAATAATATTTTATGTTAAATGCTTGACTTTTGTGATAAAGTAAAAAAAGGGCAAACAAACCTGCAGTTTTTCATAGTGATGTACTACTACTTCCGTCCCGCATACCGTGTCTGCTACACTGTAGACACGGTATTTTAGGAGGGGTGTAATTAGTAGATAATTAAGAATGTATTAATGAAAGTAATTATTTTATAATATAAATAATTATAAATTAAAATTAAACTAACTAATTAGTTTAATTAATTTTTTTAAAAATAATTTAAAAAGTTTAAAATAAGATTAAAGTGTATAATCATTTTTCGAAAAAAAAAATGACATGATATGTGGGACGGACAGAAACGGCATCGTGGACATGGTAATTTGAAAGAGGGAGTAATATTTTCAAAGCACTTGCCACGACAATTTCTCACCCAAAAAAGGACAAACAATTATTTTATTTATTTATTTATTTTAAAATAAATAAAATAGAGTTAGAGAAGCGAAGCCATTTTCGAGGAAGCTTCGTCACATTACGAGAAGACACATGTTTCAACACATACTTACATATACATATATATATATATATGTATGTATATACTCTTCTCCCTCCCTATATATCACCTGCTCTCTTCTTTCAGGCAATCTTTATAATTTCTCACTCTACAAACTATCAATCAAACACATATATTTATTTATATATATATAATTGGAATTAATTAATTAATTAATTAAGAATGGTGAGAGCACCTTGCTGTGAGAAAATGGGGCTGAAGAAAGGGCCATGGAGCCCTGAAGAAGACCAGATTTTGATTAGTTATATTCAGCAACACGGCCATGGAAACTGGAGGGCTCTCCCAAAACAAGCAGGTTTCATTTCTTTTTGTTGGATTCTTTCTATATGATATCATCAATTCAATTCAATTCAACACGGGCGTGTTGGAGGTGCAGGTCTTTTGAGATGCGGGAAAAGCTGCAGGCTGAGATGGACAAATTATCTTCGGCCAGATATCAAAAGAGGAAACCTCACCAAACACGAAGAAGAAGCCATCATCTCCTTGCACCACTTGCTTGGTAACAGGTCTCTTTATTACTCTCTCTCTCTAATAAAATATTTAAAAAAACAAAGACTTATTTTTTTTATTTGCCTGTCACTAAAATATAAAAAAGTCTAATTTACTTTTTTTTTAATTAAAAAAACACATCACTTTTGTTTTTTCTTATCATTTATAACTATTTTTTTCTATTTATAACTATTTTTTTCTACTCTCTTTGTCCCATAAATATAGTCATAATTGGGTTCGACATCAGATTTAATGAATTTTGATATTATATTAGTAGTTGGTAAAAAGTATGGATAAAAGACTTTTTTGTCTTTTTAAGTGTATTAGTGTAAAAAGTAGTGGCAATTGTGTAATAAAAAAAGTAGGAATAGTTTTACGGTGATATGATTATTTATGAGAATAAGACTATTGTTTTGGAATAGATAAAAATAATAAACAAGACTATTGTATTAGAACGGATAGAATATTTTTCTTATTATAAAAGGTAAGAAATATTCGCCATGTTAAAATCAATATCCAAATCAAATGAACTTAGTTTTACATGAAAAAATTATTATTATTATTACTATTATTATTATTATTATTATTATTATGAGTGAAGACAAAAGGTTAAAAAAAACAAAAATAAAAAATGAATTGATTACTTATATACTAAAATTATAGTAATTTTTATCATTACTAGTAATATTTAGTTTTTCATACTTCTAAATTTAAAAAAAAAAAAATTATTGTTCTTTCTAAGAAAAATACTACGTTCATTATTTGTATAAAATATCAAATTAAATAATTATTTTTAAGTAAATAATTAAATTCATAAATCCTCAAAAATATCATTGATGTATATATATACTATAATACTAAAAAGTTTGTTTCTTTGAGGTTTGGATTAAAAGTGTGTTTGGTTACCGGTTAGCATTTTTTTTTTTAAAACAAAAAATATCAATATCTTATGAAATCTATTCAAAATTTTATATTTTTATTATTTTTAAATAAATCTATTTATTTATATATATATATTAATTTTTTTATTTTTTTATAAAATTAATTTATATTAATTATAAATAAAAATTTATATTTTCTATAAATGATATCAATAGTGTATATTTTATAGAAAATATACTTTTTTTTAATTATATATATATCAAATCATAAATAAAATATTAATTAAATAAATTATTTTCAATTCTAACTTGTAACCCAAAAACATATTTTTTTTATATCAGAAAAACATTTTTAAAAAACAAAAATCTAAAAAAAAAAAAAAAAACACACCAAAGGCGTTAATTAATTTGTTTGAACTAGTAAGTTGCATGATGTAATGAAACGATGAACCCAAAAGACGACAAGATTGTTAAAATTAATTAATTAATTAATTAACAAGATCCCTTCTCTGTATACGTGCATGTTGGAAGTTTACTAAAATAATAATCACCAAATTGCTAAATTAATTACTCGTTATCTATCTCTCTCTCTCTATATATATATATATATATATATGTAAAAAATTTAATACTACTATAAAAAATTAATACTCCCTCTGTCTCATTGAAAGGTTGCCATTTTTTATTTTCGTCCGTCCCAAAATAAGGTTATAATTTCCTAATTTAGTAATTGTACTATCTACCTAACATAATAAATACACTTTCAACTTACAATATATTACACCAATGCCATTACTTTTATATTACATCGTACTAACAGGGGTATTTTTGTTTTTTTTACTACAATCCAATATAATACTAATATTCAAAAATCTACTTACAAAAAACAAATGTCAGCCTTTCAATGGGACGGAGGGAGTATTTAATTTGATATTTTGTAAAAAATATGTTTAATTATCTTTAAATAAATAATATGAAAATTTAAAAATATTATATGAAATATTTTAGGCATTTTTCTTTAGCATAATTTTTTTCAAATTTTATTATTTAAACTCTGCATTTGATATTTTTTTCTCTCACATCTCATTAAACATTATTTTTATATCAAATACAAACCAAAATTTTTTCAAACTAAAAAAAGAAACACACACGTGAATATATATATATATATGTGTATTTTTTGAATCTAAGATCTTAAATAAAATAAATAAAATCACATATGCAGACAACAACAAGGATGCCCCTAAATCTTCTTAGGATTCTGTGTCCTAATAATTAATCAATCCCACGCACAAAAATTAATACTCTCTCCGTGCCATGTAATATCGATGTATTCCTATATAAATGAAAATTTAGATAAAATATAATTAGTAAATAATTAAGAAGTGTATTAATAAAAATAATTATAAATTAAAATTAAGATAAGTAAATAGTTTAATTAAAATTAAAAAAATTTAAAATTTAAGATTTAAAATGCAATTAAAATGCATAATTATATTTAAAAAAATAAAAAGGACAAGTTACTTGAGACGGACAAAAATAAAAAATATAAACAAATTATGTGGAACGGAGGGAATCGATTAAATGTGTCTGCTAAATCTCAAAAACAGTATTTCCATATTTATTTATTAATTTATTAAATATATTTTATTTGGGAATTTCCAGGTGGTCTGCCATAGCTGCAAGATTGCCAGGAAGAACAGACAACGAAATAAAAAATTTATGGCACACCCATCTGAAGAAAAAGCTGCAGCTGACGTCACCCTCCAATTCAGATCCCGACAAAATTAGGGTTTCCAGCCCCCACAGCGAAAACATCTCCTCCGTCACCGACGACAATAAATCCGCCGCCGTCAAGAAGGAGGAATCCGATTATTCGTCGTCGGAATATTTTCCTCAGATCGACGAAAGTTTCTGGTCCGACCACCGTTCTCCCAATGTGAAATTAGAAGATTCCGCCGGCGCCGGAGGAATGGACTTCTGGTACAATCTGTTCATCACGGCGGGAGACCTCCCGGAGGACTTGCCGGAGTTTTGACGGGGGTTTGAACGAGGGCATATTTGACATTTTAGGCAGACACGTCAGTATCACTGATTTTTCTTTTTTTATTTTATTTTTATGAAGGGTAAGATGGGAATTTTAGGAATTTGATAGGGGCTGACATGGAAATATAAAAATGGTTGTGCTGTATATTTAATTTAATTTAATTTAATCTAAGAGGGTAGAGTAGTCAATGAGTAGAAATGGTATTAGTGGGTGTGATGTGAGCTGACTAATTGATCGCTTTTTATTGGTCTAAGTTCTTAATGTCGTCTTTTGAAATATTGTGGGCTCAATTTGATCACTTCTTTTGACTAATCGAAATACCTTTCATAATTTATTAATTAATTTAATTAAAGTGCAAATTTGTATTTTTTTTAAAATTTTATTTCCTAATAATTTCTTCTGTGTTTGTTTTCACACTTAACTTTTAATTTAAATTTTTGTTTAAACAATATTTATTTTTTTAAATAACAGTATTGGTTAAATAATAGTAATACTATAAAATAATTTGAAACTTTAGGGTTTATTTAGTTTTGGCTTGAAATTGAAATTGAAATTGAAATTTATATGATATTTTATAATAAAAAAATATTATTATATTTTTATTAAAAATGATGTGAACTGAATATTGGTAATTTGCCTTTCAAATACAAATCAAACTGCAATCCTTCGGTACAAAATAATTTGGGATTAGTCACGGCAAATTGAGAAAATTTCTTGAATAAATCGATTACGAACGGAGTAGTACTGTAAGAATGTCGTCGCTAATACTACACAAGCAAATTTTGTGAGTAATTTTGCGACGTAATTACTCACAGAATTTTTGTCGTGAGTACTAGTCAGCGCCATAGAGTTTACTATCTTATTTGCAACAAAAAATTTTGGAAAGTAATTTCATGAGTAAATTACTTACGAAAATTTTCGACAATAAGATGTTTGCGACGAAACAAATTATGTGAGTAATATTACGACAAAATAGATCCATGTTATAAAGTGAACCCCACCAAACAAATTAGTTCAATAAACAAAATACAATCGAATCACACGATATTTATAAATATAGCTTTGTAGTCGATCGATACCACGAAGAACAATAAAGATAACCATAGAATTCAACAATTCAATACAATATAAAAGTATAAATATTCTGTACAAAAATCAATCGGTGCAGAATCGCCATCGAGGTCGTGTCAATCCAGTCGGAACGTTGATCCTCTCGAGCTTTTCCATGATGGTCATGATGTAACTTTCGAAACGATCATGCTTCTCCTAAAGCTCGCTATCGGAGAACCAGGTACGATCATCACTGGTGAATGAGTTGCAATTTGGTGTAGGGCACGATTGTTACCATCTTCTTGTGTCGTGCGGTACCTTTAAATTGCAGTCTACTATATAAAATTTAACGAACGTAAGTAAGTGTTTTTGAAACATCATGTCAAAATACTATTAAAAATAAAAACTAAAACTAAATCCACAAACTCTAATCAAAATCAAACAAAAGTGGTGGTTCCCTTTGTATTCTATTGCAATTTCCCTATTATAAATTTTTTATAATTTTCAATAAAATTAAATTATTTTATTTAATCAAATATGTATTAAAATATTTAAATAAAATAAATTTGAAATTCAAATTCATATATAAAGAGAATAATAATGATAATTTTTCATATTTTAAATACTTATTTATGTATGCTTAAAAAATAATAATATTGTATGGTAAACTGTACTTGACATGTTATTTAAAGTTATATTTATTTAATATATATATATATAAATTATCCTTTTAATCAAAATAGCATATCTAATTTGTTGTAACTTTTTCTTTCGTCATAGATGATTTTTTATTTTTACTTTTTGTCAGTCTCATAAAATGTGACTTTTTTTTTTTTTTATATTTTTAGTAAATTTATTCATCTGAGATATATTTAAAAATATATATAAATCAATTTAATTAATTTTTTAATATATTTCACGTATAATTACTTAAAACACATTTAATTATATCTCTTCTCAATAAATAAATATTTTTATTTATATTTAAAACTCCTCATTTTTATAAAATTGATTTTAAATTAATATAAATAAATCAAATATATATTTGATTTATTTATATTATATAAAATTCTATTATCAACAAAGTGATATCTGTGTTATATATATTATTGTTATATAATACTAAAAAGATATAAAATATCAACAACACTATTTGTATTAAAAAATATATATCATAACTTACAAATCTATACTACCTAAAATACCATGTCCCTAATCAAAAGGTCATCTAACCCAAGACAGAGGGAGTATTATTTTACTATTGAAAGACGAATGATATGTTTAACAATTAGCTGATAGTTTTTAGTTGTTATGATACAATTAACGGTTAGTTGACTAACTAATTCAATTAACTGTTAGATGTTTATTCTTAACCTGCTAATTGATAGAATTTATATTTTATTTTTTAAAAATATTTAATTATGTTCTTTTGGATTAAATTTTTTTAAAAAAATTGTTATTAATTATTAGAAATTGTGAAAATATTATAAAATATTTATATCTATTTTTTTAGATTTTTTTTTAAAAATAATATATTTTGATTAGAAAATTAATATTTTTTTATTAAAAATGATATAAAATATAAAATAGTAGAAATATCGTATATATATTTATTATTTTATTATATTTATAACTTTGAATAAGTTTATTCTATTTTATTTATTTTTTAATATAAAATTATATATAAAAATAAATTAATAATATCTATGGTTCTATTATGTTTTAATTTTAACAAATTTATATATTTTAAAAATAAAGTAAATTATATATAAAATTTTAATTATTTTAAATTTATAAAAAGAAAATTTTAATTTAGTAATAAAATATATTAAAATGATTAATAAATAATACAATACAAAATATATTTATACGTGTGTGAAATAAATAATTAATTAAAAGAAAATAAGAAATAAAAAATAAATAAATAAAGTGAAAAGCTCTCCTAAAAAGTTGAGTTATATAGTCTTTTATAAATTAATTTTTTGGATCCAATAAACTATTTGAAAATACTAATTTACTAAACACTTAACAACTAAAAACTGTTCAATAAATTGTTCTACAGATTCATCAGTTCTTTGTCGCATATTCGTAAGATTCGGAACAGTAATCTCCAGAGATGATGTATAAAATCTTTAATGAAAAGTTCTTTCCAACTCGGTCCATGAGCTGATCAAATTGGGACGCAGTGGACATACCAGCTGAATGCAAGGTCTGTCAAAGATAAAAAAAAAAATAATTGTAATTTATACAATTCCTTATTTCCGAATCGCCGCCACGTTGCACGATAAAGCGGCTAACGTGCTCTATCGTTGATTGGGAGTCCTCACCCGAAAAAAAAGTGTAAAATCTGGGATATGCACGTTCGTTGGTAAGGGGTGTTCATCCACGATATGATTAGGAAAAGGGCATCAACAGTTCAATTAGATTCCGTAGGATTTTGTTGGACTTTCAAAATCTGAGTGTATTCGATCAAGACTTTTAAAAGTGTTTTAAAATCTGGAGGTATTCAATAAGACTTTTAAAATCTTGAGGTCTTTTAAAATCTTAAGATATTCAACGATCAATAGACTTTCAAAGTCTATGAATTTTAATGAAAAATTATGAAAATTTTGTATATGATAAAATCTCTCCTGATCAGCAGAGATTTTAATGGATTCTTAAAATTATTATTATTATTATTGTTGGTGATGTTGTTCTTGTTGTTGTTGTGATAAATAATATGATATTATATATTAATATTATTATAATTTTTAATAAAAACAATAATTTAAAACTAAAATATATTAAAAAATCATTATGATTTTTTAAAAAAATATATTTTTATATTATAAATATAAATTTATAATTTTAAAAAATATTATTATCACAATAAATATATTATTGTCGTCTTTTCTTTTCAATTATCGAATATAATATATTATCATTTCGGTGTAATTCTCTTTTTTCAATTATCAAATATACTATATTATCATTCCGATGACAGTGAAATAGATATTTAAATATATATTTTTTTGTTGAATTGTTAATTTATATTTATTTATTTATTTATTTTAATATATTTTCAAAAATCGTAAATTATATTTTTTATTTTATTTATATACGTACTTATTTTTTATGTAAAAAATTTATATAAATAATAATAATAAATAAGACAGAAATATAAAACTAATTTTATATATTGAATGATAATATAATACTAACATTATAAAATTAAAATTAATAATCTACAATATAGTAGTGTTAAGATGTTACAATATTTCTACATTATTAATAATTATATATTATTTATTAATATTAAATATAATTTAATTAATAATTATATATTATATTTATAAAATTTGTGTTGGACATAAATTTATATAATTAATATATATTCATAAAAATATTATTTTACCATTCTATCAAATTTATATAAATCCATAAAGAATTCAATAAAATATGTAGAAATCAATTATTAAAATCCATCAAACACTTAGACTCTAAATTTTATAAATTCACATAAATTCATAGACTTTTTAAAATAATAAAAAAAAAAGTCCATTAAAATCTCAATTGAATACACCCCTAAATTTATTTGTCAATTTATTTTTATTTTTTTCAATAAATGTGTGTGTATATATATATATATATATATTGAGTCAATTGATGAAAATGAAAGTGGGATATAATCAATGCATGAGATCTGGAAAAATAAATCTAAGAATTCAAAGTGGAAATTATTGTGAGGTGCAGAAAAAAATAAAAAATAAATAAAAAAAATGGAAAGACCAAGAAAAGTATTAGACGAAATGTGATTACGTCCACTCAATTACCTAACAATTTCATGTGTGACTATAAATCGTGTGTTTGGTCCGTTTAGTTTTGAATTTTTTTAAAATTAATAAAAATTAAAATTTGATTTAATATTTTTAAAATAAAATAATCAATTAATATGACATTTATTCTTGGAAAATAAATTAATACTAATGAATAATGTCAAAGCTTTTAAAATTAAATTGAAAAACCAATTATTTAATATAATATAAATAAATATTAATAATATTTTGAATATAAATTTAATTTTTAATATAATATAAAAAATAAATATTTTAATATTTTATTAAATAAAAAATTAATAATAATAAAATCAAAGATTGAAAAGCCACAAACAACTGTAGTCTAAGGGAGGTTTGTAGAATAAAACTGAAGAGTAGAGAATAGAATTTACAAAGAAAAGAATTTAGTAGATAATGAAAATTAATTATTTTGTATGGTAAAACAGAGAATTAAAAAAATACAGCTATTTAAATGAATCGATAAAAAAATAAATGATTAATCGGGCAAATTTTTTTTTTTTTTGAACAAGTAGAAATTTATGAAAAAAATATTTTTAGAATTTTTTTTAAAAAAATAAATTATATACGATGTTTTGTAAAATAAATTTTTTGTGTAATTTTTTTAGAAAATAGTAAATAAATAAATATTTGAATAATAAATTAAATGTAATGTTTTATAAGATTGAAATAATATAATTTAAAAAAAATTAAATAATACAAAATATCAGAGAACATTATAGAGAAGTGAACGAAATATCATTAAGCAAAGACCAACACGTCCAATGGAGGACAAACCTTCTCTTCGTCCTGACGACGGAGCCACACCATTTACAACCTTTCCAGCAGCTCAACCGACTATTTTTCTGCAAGTAATGGTGACTTATCCGCAACATCAACCTGTTACAACGATGTCTACAGTACGACAACCGCAGTCAATCCCCGAGCAAAGTTCGACCGCCAATTGGAACGGATAGGCGCCTCCACCGCATCCTCCTTATTTCCCAACATATGGAATGACTTCTCCTTGGTATCCCCTTATCAATTTTCTATCATACGGAGCTGAGGATCAAATTTATAATCCTTCAGGTGCGTTTCCACATGGACCATATAGATAAACATCTCTTTCGACTACAGCGACCGCTCTTATCGTATCGCCTCAGGCCGCAACATTTCTAATAGGTTTCAATCCACCACCTTTACACCCACCGATGTTTGGTACTCATGATATGAATCAGATGGTCGGAGTACAGCCCGTAATCGCTCAACAAGTAGTATATTCACAACCGATGTTCCCGACGCAACTACAGTTCGAACAACAACCGAATCGTATTTTAAGAGCCCCTCAATGTCAACCAAGACCTATTGTAGGACGTCCAGGGGCTGGACAGAATACACAGCTTCTTGCCAACCTCCCCGAGTCGATCATCAAGCCATCGGCAAAGTAGTACGAAAATTGTACGGCGATCTATTATGCATACTTGCTCGACAGCACTATAATAATAAATTTCGAAAATTGAATACACTCAGATTTTGAAAGTCCAACAAAATCCTACGTAGTCTAAATTGAATACACCCCCTTAAATTCATATTCAAATGATATCAACAAAAAATATAATAATAAATTTCATAAAAATAAAAATTAAATTAATCATATAATCTCTCCGTCCCATATTTATATATCCATTTGATTTTTGCACGAAGTTTTAGAAATATTAGTATTATATTGGGATAAAGTAGAAATAAAGGTAAAAAGGCTAAATTAACCCTATTAGTATTGTATGATATAAAAGTAATGACATTTGTGTAATATATTGTAAATTAGAAGTGTATTTGTAATGTTAGGTAGATAGTACAATTACTAAAAAAAAGAAACAAATACTTTATTATGGGACGGACCAAAATAGAAAAATGGATAAATTATTAACGAACAAAGGGAGTATGCAATAGCGGACATACACATAAAGTATATCATCAATTAGAAATAAATAATATCTTAACTATTATATGATCGGTAATTCAATAATAATAATAATAACAACAATATTGGCCATCTTGGGCCAAAGACTTAAAAAAAAAAAGTAAAGAAAGTAAAATTTAATTTTTGATCGTGCAGATAATTTTAAAACCTAACAATCTGTCAGTCGAACTTGTATTAGTAATATAAAAAATAATATTTTATGTTGAATTGTTAACTTTTTATAAGTGAATAATGTACATATTATATTAATAAATGTATATATTTGTAATTTTTCAATAATATTTATAAAAAATTATTCCATTGAAAAAATGTTAAGTGAACAGACGATTTATTATTCTATAATTATTATAATTTTCAAATAAGTGATTTGTTGAATATTTCATATTTGCATGGTTGTGCAAATTTTTTATGTTTTAATTTTTTATTGTTTATTTTTTAAAAGAAAATATTTCCTCCGTCCTAGATGAGATGAACGCATTAATGTAGATATGAGAATTTAAATAAAATATAATTAGTAAGTAATTAAGAAGTGTATTAGTAAAAATAATTATAGATTAAGATTAAAATAACCAAATAGTTTAATTAAAATAAAAAAAATTAAATTTTAAAATTTAAAATATGATTAAAGTGTATAATCAATTTTAAAATATACTCTCTCCTTGTAAAGCATAAATTTCAATGTACAATACTCAACAAACTCATAGATGAGTAGTCATTCCCATTATCAGATAAGAAAACTTCAACATAAATTTCAACAAAATTTCTTCTATATTCAAAATAAAGGGTTTGTTTGTCCAATACAAAGTTTTTTAGACACAATTTTTAATATACATAATATATACTCCCTCTCTTCCATAACGATGTATCCGTTTGCTTTTTATACGTAGTTTTAAAAATATTAGTATTATATTGAGATATAGTAGGAATAAAGTAGAAATGACTAAAATAACCTTATTAGTATTGTATGATATAAAAGTAATGATATTTGTGTAATATATTGTAAGTTGTAAGAATGTTTATAATGTTAGAACAATTACAAAAAAAGAAATTAATATTTCTTTACGAGACAGACTAAAATGAAAAAATGAATACTTTATTATGGGACAGAGGGATGAAGTATTTTATTCTTTCACACAAAATTAATATTTAATACAAAATATTATTATTTTTATATTACTTATATAATTTCTAATATCTCACCTAAAAAAAATAGCTCAAGCTAAAAGTATTAAGATAATAAGAAAATAAGAAGATGTATACATAAATTAAATATGTTAAAAAAATATACAAATAATCATTGGAATTTAACACAATTATTTTAATTTATAATAAATTAAAATTAAAATTTTATTATTTATTTTTTTTTTAAAAATAATAATATAATTACAATTTATTATTAATTTTGATATTTTTACTCTTTTTTTATTAATATTAATTTTTTTTTATAAAATATATAATAATATACTTTCTTCGTTTATAACGTTTACATACATTTATTTTTATCTCTAATTCAAAATTTTATTAGCATTTCATTATACATTTATATTTAAAAATAATATTTATATTATTATAGTATTTACTTGTCATAACTAAAATATTAATATTTTTTAATTCACATCAAAGCAAATATAAATCTGAATTAATATTTTGAGGATGAGGTAAAAATTAATTTTATTTTTTATTTTTCATTTTCTTACAAGAATAGGGTGTGTTTAATTTTGCTCTTAATTTTTATTTCAAATTTTTTTCTTTTAAAAAATAATTATTTTGTATTTATTGTCCTTTCTTGACAAATTATTCAGTGATACAATAAAAATTAAAAATTTATATAAAGTATAATTAATAAATAATAAAAAAATATATTAATAAAAATAATTATTATATAATAAATAATTATAAATTTAAATTCAAATAACTAAATAATTTACCTTAAATATTTATTATATAATAAATAATTATAAATTTAAATTCAAATAACTAAATAATTTACTTAAAATTTTAAAAATTAAAAATTATGAAATTTAAAATATATAATGATGTAAAATAAACAAAAATATAAATATAAATAATTTATATATAAAAAATTATTATATTAAAATTTAATTTAATTTTTAAATTATTATATCAGTATATTTTTATGGTATAAAATAATTACTTCAAAAAAAAAAAAAAAAGTGCCATTCAAAATCAAATCTAAATCTTACTAAACATATCCGTACGTTTTTACCCTAAACGCTTCAGCCGCCGCCAGTTCTCAAACTTCGGCATCTCTTCTTCTTCTTCTTCGTTACCCAAGCTTCACAGTCACCGACCGCCGCCGTAGCAGCTCCCCTCGCTGCCGCTGCCGTCGCCGCCACAGCATTCGATCTCCAATTTTTTTTTTTAGAAACCCTCGACTCCGCGGTTCTTTTCACAGAGTCGAGCTGGGTAGAGTTGGGTTTGTTTTGCTAGTTATTGTTTGGTAATTCTTGGAGATTCTAACGTGGAGCCAGACGGACAAGGTTTTTGGAACGAATTAAGCAATGAAGGTGAAAGTGATTTCCCGCTCCACAGAGGAATTCACACGCGAACGCAGCCAGGACCTTCAGGTATTCTCCTTTTCACCATGAATGTAGTTTATCTTAATTATAATGTAATTTTGGGATTGATTATGCTTTTTCTCTTTTCAAACAGAGGGTTTTCCGAAATTTCGATCCATCCCTTCGATCCCAAGAGAAAGCTGTGGAGTATGTTCGTGCCCTAAATGCTGCTAAGTTAGATAAGGTGCCTTTATATCCTTCTCAATACACACACACACACACACACACATATATATATATATATATATGGTGTATTTTTGCAGCATATAGTAATTGAATTAAAGAAATTAGATAATGAAACTGTTGCCTTTGTTGAAAGATATTTGCACGGCCCTTCATTGGTGCAATGGACGGCCATATTGATGCAGTTTCGTGTATGGCTAAGAACCCCAATCATTTGAAGGGAATTTTTTCGGGTTCCATGGATGGAGGTCTAGTCTTTTCTTCCTGTTTCTTACTATGAGTTCTCTATTTGTTGTTTATGTTTATTTAAATGTGATTGATTGATAACACACAGAATGTAAGATTTATTGACGAGCTTGAAAGTTTTTGAGGTATATTTTTGGAGGCACAATGTCTGAAGTAATGCTACTTTTGTGTCATTTTCAGATATTCGACTTTGGGACTTGGCAACAAGGTAATCACTAATTTACCTTTGATAAGCGACTGTTCTTGTAATTCATCTATTGGGTTTTGTAGCAAGTGATTTTTTGATTGTTTTCTTTGATCTGCATTGTCTATGATATTCAAGAAGAACAAAGTCCAATGTTTGGCTGAAAATTTTTGATATCTTAAGTTGTCTATGCACTTAAACAAATTTTTGTTACGTCTTTAGGAGGACAGTATGCCAGTTTCCTGGTCACCAAGGTGCAGTGCGAGGTCTTACAGCATCGACAGATGGGAGAGTTCTTGTGTCATGTGGGACTGATTCCACGTGAGGCCAAATATCAACTTTATGGTTGCTTTTGGGTATGTAAGATCCATGGAGTCTATTGACACTTTATTCTAATGATATACACCTTGATGTTTCAGTGTTCGGCTGTGGAATGTACCCATTCCTACTCTTATGGAATTTGAATCTGATGATTCATTGGGTGATGGAAGCAAGGTTGTTTTTCCTTTATTATTTGGTTTGATCTTTCCTGTTAAACATTTTATAATCTACATTGTCTGAACAATTGTTTATTCAACTTGTATTTCTCACAGCCACTTGCCGTCTATGTTTGGAAAAATGCCTTCTGGTAAGTTCCTTGTGCTTTTGCTTGTGATGTACATGTCATATATTGTCATATGATTATCAATATTAAAAACTTAACTGTTTTTTTTGTTCTAATTTTTTTTGTGAAATTAATGTTTCTCTTTTCCTTGTATTTTTTCCTTCAGGGGTGTGGATCACCAATGGGAAGGTGATCTTTTTGCAACAGCTGGAGCTCAAGTAGATATATGGAACCACAACAGGTTCTCTTCAACTTCTTTCAAAATTTTTTGATTGTTTTTGTGAAGTGCTAAAGTTTTCAATGCGTATTTCGCCCTTCAATCAGATCTCAGCCTGTTAACAGCTTTGAATGGGGCCACGACACAGTTATATCTGTACGGTTTAATCCTGGGGAGCCAAACATATTGGCAACTTCTGGCAGGTATGCTGTTCAATTGAACCTAGGAATTGATTATCAAGTAATTCTGGATATGGTGATGATCGATATTCATATTTGATTCTACTATATACTTGATGATCTCATATAGATGTTTCTATAATAACATGCTTAGGAGTAGCTTTTATTGTAGTTGAGATCACTTTTATCTCCGAGCTAATTATATTTACATGGACTGAATTTCAAATCACATTATATGAGTTAAACATCTTAAATTCATCTTTTTCAATTGTTGTTTGCAGTGATCGAAGTATTACCATATATGATTTGCGATTATCATCTCCCGCAAGAAAAATAATCATGAGGGTGAGTGATAACTTTAGTTTTAGTATGTGTGAAGATACCATTTTAAATTCCATATGCTAATTTATTCATATTCTGACAACTATAATGCTATTTGTGTCTCTAATGTCTCTGTACGTGTTAGCAATGTGCTTGCCTTCTGTGTATTGTGGAGGTAGTGTCGAAGGAAATTGATGCTATTGGCTAAACACTAAAAAATCATTAAGCTTCTTTACCTCAAAATAGTTTCTAACATTTTGTTGATCATATATATAAGGAATATCCAACTTTTCGCATTCTTATTAAATAGTATTTTAGATGTCAATATCGTTATTTAATTAATTTCAGTTTTGAGAAGATTGCAATTGCTCGTGACATGTGTATGATTTGGTAAACTTGGAGAATGCACCCGCAGCTTGCCTATGTGATTTTAGCTTCTTCCTGATGTTGAATCTTTGATCATAGTTGGAGGAAAGTATCCCCTTAAGTGACATTATCTGCATACTCAGAAGCCACAAATAACTGTTAGCTTTTCATAGAGTTAATATCATTTTTAGAAACTGGAGTTTTCAATGGAAGATTCTTTTTTTGAGATGTACATAACATATTATCACAGAAGTATCCTATAGTATTAAATCCTTTATATATAGAATACAGATTGCCTTTTTGCCTGTTACCATTTTGAATGTTGCTTGTTGAAACTGTAAATGGGGCAAGTTGAGACTAGCTATGAGGTTAGGTTGTAAATATATGATTGCTCTCCTGCTTGGATATATATTTCGTTATGATAATGTCATTTCAATCTGTAAATGCCTTTTACTTGTTTCTTTATTTTTCCACAGACAAAAACTAATTCTATTGCATGGAATCCAATGGAGCCAATGAACTTCACAGCTGTAAGTGAAAACTGCAACTAATATTTTGAATGCTCAAATTTTACTGCGACTTTACCAAATCATATGTAATTGTCACCCATGAAAATTGAAGGCCTGTTATCTTTAATTGTTAGTTGATATAATCTCTCCTATAGAGAAACACTACTACAAGAAAAATTCTAAATGTGCTTTAACAATGTAGAAGTCATCTTCATTGATTGTGGAATTTGTAAATAAAACGACATGCTTCAAGTGCCTTGCTGATTAAATTGTAGCATATCATACTAATTTAGGCAAATGAAGACACCAATTGTTATAGCTACGATGCTCGGAAATTGAATGAGGCGAAGTGTGTGCATCAAGACCATGTATCTGCAGTGTGAGTCCTTTTTCTTGCAAATCTGATCTATTCATGTTTCAACTCAAGAATTTTAAAGTATGTAAGTTGGTTTGTTATTATTGTTTACATTTTGCAGTATGGATATTGATTACTCACCAACCGGTCGAGAATTTGTAACGGGATCTTATGATAGAACTGTGAGTTTTCCATCCATCTCATCCATCTGTTTCCCTATGGTAATATCACATTTTCCCTCTTGCATTCATGACATTACTGCTTTGCAATTTTCAGGTAAGAATATTCTCGTATAATGGTGGCCATAGCCGAGAAATATATCATACCAAGAGAATGCAAAGGTCAATATTTAGAAGCAGTTCTGTGTATACATACATACATGCATATATATATGTGTGTGTGTGTGTGTGTGTGACATGAACACAATTGCATTAGCGTCTAATTAATTGAAGAAATCTGTTTACACATTCCATCGAGAAGTTTTTAATTCGATTTTTCATCTTCAGGGTTTTCTCTGTCAAGTTTAGCTGTGATGCAAGTTATGTTATTTCTGGGAGCGACGATACCAACCTTAGACTATGGAAAGCCAAGGCATCCGAGCAACTGGGAGTTGTATGGATCTCTTCTTCTTTGTTACCCCTTTTTTATTCAAATTTCTTGCTATCTGTGTGACACAAGTGTTATGTCAAACCTCTTTTGATGAAAAATATTTGCAAATGAAAATAATGAATGCCGTTTGATCATTGAGCTTCAAGATTAAAACAGATGTTGCACTAATATCATTTCCTCACTCTTTTCTTTCTTTCTTTTTATTTATTAATTGATTTATTTATACCTAAACAAGCATGAGTAAAATTTCCCCATGTTTTCAAAAGCAATCGTGAGTCGCATAGATTTGATGCAAATGAATCTTCCATATTTGCTGCTGCAGCTTTTGCCAAGAGAACGTAAGAAGCACGAATATTTGGAGGCTGTGAAGAATCGTTACAAGCATCTTCCTGAGGTTAAGCGCATAGTCAGGTGCGTACGTCGTACTTGTATATTTTCAGATGGTGTATGGACGACCTAATTCGATTAACCTATTATTTATTTCCAATCCTTGAATTGATTTGAATTGAATGCACCCCTCCTCTTGTCAATATTCCAAGTCATGAACTCTGCTGCATCCTTATTTGTCTTTCAGGCACAGACACTTGCCGAAAGCAATATATAAAGCAGCTTCTCTGAGGCGCATCATGACTGATGCTGAACGAAAGAAATATGAGAGGAGGAAAGCTCATAGTGCCCCTGGGAGTATGCTCAAGGAGCCATTGCGAAAAAGAAGAATCATCAAAGAAGTCGAATGATTTGGGTCTTTTCTCTTCCTCGGTAATTTCAAGTTTTGCCGGCTATCTACTACATAAATATATATATATACACACACAATTTTCAGATAGTGCAAAGCATGCATGCAATGGCTACAGGCAGGTTTTAGGATGTGAGAATAGGCTTGTTGTAGAAAGAAGAGTTTGTTTTGTCTTATCATAATCTGACGTATAAATTTTGTTTAATTTTCCGGCCTTACTGTGGTTATCTTTGGGGTATGGTTTCTTTGGTTTGGATTCATTTTTGTGAGACATGAAATTTTCGAAGCTTTGGTAGCAGTGAATTTAGGGGTCCTTTGTTTATTTCTCCTTGTTCTGATAGTTTTGTTTCAGTAAATTTAGTGGCATTCTTAAGCAAGATGTTTTTCCTTTTTGATCATTTGCCTTCATGTTATTATTATTATTACTTTCTTTGTATGGTCAATTTTTAGCCTAATTTGAGGGTTTAAGACAACTGACAAGTGTTTTATTATTATTATTACTATTACTATTGTTATTATATTTATTAAAATAAAATTCGTTTCGAAGTTTTTTCCTCCTGCGCTTATTTAGATTTTGGTCGTGTTTGTCTATTTCCCGAGACTTCATTTACAGTTTTGATTTTCTCTTGCTGATGGTAGTGTGGGCTCGTGGTGATGGAGATTAGTAGAATTGCTTGGTATTTTTGTTGATATTTGCTGATTGAGGTGAATATCGGGTGATGGAATTGCCGGGGGCTTTTTGTCTGGTGTTGTATGCCGATGCTGCGGCTTTAAAGCAATGCTCACAAAGTGTTCGATCCTTTGCCTCTGTAGATTTTTCATTCCTGCAGGATTTAAACTTAATAAAATTGGTGAAATTATGAAAGTTAAAGTGAAAGTGATATCTTATTCTTAAACCTTCAATGCATTTTATTTTACATAGCTTAGTCATGTTTGAATTGATTGTGATTGATCTTAATGATGTTTTGTTAGGACTTATTTAACAATTTCTTGTGATTTTGATCTGGTGCAATAATTTGTAATTGAATAGCTAACTATAGTACATTTAACTTGAATAATTCAGTTTCATATTTCATTTGTTTATGGAAGAACTCATAAGATGACATCCTTTCAATGACAAGAACACCGAACAAGACCAAATATCCAATAGATTGTCATTTAAAAGTTGTAATAATTCATATTATTAGCACAAATTGTTGATGCTTGTTTGGTTGTTAATTAAAACTAATTTAAAATAAAATAAAAATTTAAATTTTTATTTAAATAATATTTTATAAAAAAAATACTCCGTCCAGTCATAAAATATAGGATTGTTTTTGCATTATTATACTTAATGTTAAAAATATCTTTATATTTATATAATTAACTTTACAAATATCATTGTATTTATATTATAAAAAATTAATAAAAATATTTTTATAATTATATACTTTCGAACTAGACTGAGATAGTAATATTTTTATTGAAAATTCACGAGCAAACACACTAAACACTTAAGGGCATATACAATAGCTAAGTGTAGAAGCCTTCTTCTCCCTAGCATGTACAATCGTTTGGAATAAAAAAGCTTACAATGGTTTTATATACTTTCTTCGCCCAAAAAAATATCTTAATTGAAAGTAGCTATAACGTAGAATGTAAAAACTAAAATACCTTTACTTTTTGAATGATTTTAAAAAGTAGGTTAGAATAATAATTATGATTAGTTTGGAAAAACAAGAATAATTTTGTTATAAAGTGGAGACCACGATTACTAAATAAAAAAACAAGACAATTGTTTTGGGACAGACGAAAATGGATAAACAAGACAACCTTATTAGGACGGAGGGAAAATTGATAAACAAGACAACTTTATTGGGACGGAGGGAGTATGTCTCACAGCTTGAAAGCTGTTTGGCCTGCACCAAGCAAATTGGATGTTGCAACACTTTTTTTTCCTTCTAAACATTAACTATTGTGTGTGTTTTTTAGGCAGACACAAGAGTTGAGCCGTTGCTCGGTCAACTTCAATGTATGGATAAGCCGGTGTTAGGTCATTTGAAATTGATTAGAAGTTAAATAGATCGAATAGACTACTTATGTCAACAATGTTCACATTCTTTTTCGAAAATCTTACAGAAAGAACTTTAGAGTTACCCTAGAGTAATTTAAGAATGGAAAGTCTCTCAGAATGCGCGCTGGAAGGACTCGTGTTGACCTGTGAGATCAGTCTACGATTCTAACACGCGCAACTTTACGTGGCTTACGGGCTGGGGTGTTGCAGAGGCATTCTCTTTCCTCCATCTAGACAAAACTTACGCACCGGCCTAACTTTTGCAATTGAAATTTCGATACAAAATCGATTGGACCTGGTATAGTCTACGATTTTGACACGTCCGACTTTACGTGGCTTGCGGGCTCGGGCGTCAACAGAGACATTTTCTTTCCTTCATCTAGACAAAACTTACACACGGCTTAATTTTTGTAATTGAAATTTTGATACCAAATTGATTGGACCTGATGCAGGCAACCTACTCCGCCACCCGCCGACCTACTCTATTTTTTCTTCTTCTCCAAGCAACGGCTGCCGACCTGCCTCCGCTGTTCTGCGGTGTCTTCCATCACAATCATGTTGGTGCTAAGAGTTTTTCATAAAATAATTTTTAAGACCACGATGGAGACAAAGTGTCGCGGTAATGTCTCGAATTATAGTTGATCTCATAGAAAAATTTCGTGACACAATATTGTCTCGAAGGTTTTTTCGAGACAATATTCCGAGATAATTTAGCATTTTTGTGGTAGTGTGAATGTTTTATAGAAGTGAATTGATGGGCAATTTATTTATTTTCTTCTTATTATTATTTTTTAATTTTGTTGGATAATTTTAATGAAATTAGGATTTAATACAGATAGTTTTGCTGGCTTGTATTTCCTTCTCTTCTTCTACATAAACACGGTTGCGATTACACACGGCCGTGTTGTGTTTAGACAAAATTCCAATGGAAGAGATGAATTACAAAACTATTGTATTAAAAATATTTTTTTATATTTATATAATTTTTTATACAAATATCATTGTATTAATATTATCAGACACTGATAGAAATATCCTGTCATTTTTCCTTAATTTAATATGAACTACATTTTCATATGCAAAAAGTAAACAAAACCTTTAAAGATGGACGGAGGTAGTATATAATTTTATCTTTTAAAAAATAATATACTTTTATTTTTATAAAAGTGATATATAATTTTATTTTGAATAGTGATATGTAATTTTACCTTTTCAAAAAATAATATATAATTTATTTTCTTAAAAGTGATATATAATATTATAAATTATATATTGTTTTTAGTTATAATATAAAAACAAATTAAAGTTATAGTGTAATTTATAAATGTAAAAAATTATATAAAATAACTCCCTCCGTCCCATATAAAATGTCCACATTTTCTATTTTACTTCGTCCAATTTAATTTGTCCTAACTTTTTTTGAAAACATAATTATATAATCAAATTAAAACTCACAATTTATAAACTTTTTAATCTTAATCTAATCTATAATTATTTTTATTGTACAATAATTATTTTTACTAATATATTTTTAATTATATACTAATTATAATTTACCTACATAGACAATTTACATGAGACAAGTATAAAGGATACTTATATAGTAAATATATTTTTTAAAATAAAAATAAAAATTTTTGTTTAAAATAAAATTACCATAGACCTGCTACATTTTTACTGCACTATGTAAAAATGAAATAATAGATTAAAGATATGGCCTGACCAAGCCACTCCTATGGAGCAAACAAGCCCCAAGTAAATTGAATTAAATTTGACCACCTCTTTTTTATTTTTATATTATATTAAATATCAATTTCACATCTAACACTTCTCCTGTACTTATTTTCTTTGGCAAAAAAATACTCCTTCAGTCCCAGAACTATAATCTTAATTGTATTGGACACGAGATTTAAAAAATATCGATATTATATTGATAGTAGATAAAAATTATAGGTAAAAAATATTTTTGCCCTTACGAGTATATTAGTGTAAAAAATAGTGACAATTCTATAATAATAACAAAAAAGTAAAGATAATTATATAGTGATATGATTATTTATAAAAATAAGACTATTATATTGAGACAGAAAGAGTATTCTTTTTGCAAAAGTTGTTATCTATGTCATTTGGGCGCGCATGACATTCACACCACTCGCGGCCAAAAGATAAATTGCAAATATATAGAATATATTTTGCCAACAAGATAAACGCAAGACATAAGTGATAACGAGGTATATATAGTGATATTTTTTTGCAATTTTCTCCATCAAACAATCCTTCCAATTTACTATTTCAAAACCTAAACCCCAAATCCAAATCACCAAACCAACACAAGCATAACCCAAGAATTCACACAATATATATACATATATATACATATAGAGAGAGAGAGAGAGAGAGATGATAAAGTCTGTTAAATTTAAAAGTATTGATGGCACAACAAGTCCATGAGGATGACGACCCACAGAAACAGAGATATAGCACAGCTTTTTCCGTCATAATCATTAATTATTGTTGGAAGAAAAAGAAGTAAATATGGATTGATTATTCAAAACTGTAGAACTCACCCGTCCAATTCCAGAAAGTAAATTCGCTTAAGACAGGCACGAGTATGCCAGAGTCTTCTCCTCACTCAGCTCTTGTGCTGTCAAATCCAATTTCTTCCTCGAAAACTCATCGATCGACAGCCCTGAATTCCGATACTCACCATTACAAATATGTATCCATGATACACGATGATTATTTGTTCATTTCCTAATTAATCAAACTCACCTTGGACGATGCTCCATTCTCCGTTTTTGCAAGTGACCGGGAAAGAGTAGATCAGCCCAGACGGAACATTGTACGAACCATCCGAGTATACACCCATAGAAACCCAAGTGCCCTGGTAAAAAGTTTATCACAGCTATTTGAATTTAGAGCCACCAGAAATGACTATATACAGAACTTCTAAACGAATCGAGTAGCTCGCGAGCCAAGCTCGACTCGGCTCGTTTATAGAGATAAACGAGCCAAGCTCGAGCTCGAAAGTTATTTCTTTTATAAACAAGTCGAGCTCGAACTCGGCTCGCAAGTAGCTCAATTGAGCTCGTTAATGATGATAATAAACAAGCCAAGCTCGAGCTCGAAAGTTATTTCTTTTATAAACAAGTCGAGCTCGAACTCGGCTCGCAAGTAGCTCAATTGAGCTCGTTAATGATGATATATACTACCTGCGTCCGACTCGGTCCATTTATTTTTTGCGTGTTGATCTTTGAATATTAATTATTATGTGAAAACGTAATACAAATTAAGAGAAAATGACAAAAATACTTTTATATTAGTGTCTTATAAGTATAAA